GTGATCTAAGGCAGATTCTTAAGAAATTCATCCTTCTGCAAGTCTGTTGGTAAAGGTATTTTTTTCTGCTCTTACATAGACTTTTTTTTTTGATAGTTTAACTAAAATTTATTTCTGCCAACTGTTCTTTATTTTCATTGATTTGGGATGGAAAAGATCTTGCCCCAGGTCCTTGAGCCTTTAAAGGTGGCTACTTCGCACCAGTCATGAGTAGAAAAACATATTAATTGTCATTTACAGTACATTTAAGCAAATTCTTCATTGCTTAAATTGTAAAGGGTTGAATTTCTGAGCACTTGACAATACCAGAAATTTTCACTGCTGATGTAAAAATTTGGAGACTTTCACATTCTTATTAGCTATCCTGCCTATATCATCTTATTTATTAAAAAAAAAGATAAAATATTTCATTATTATTGTTCCATTCCTTGATTATCTTTAATACCAATACATTATTTTAATTTTTTCCTGATTCATATACTTTCCTAACTTTAAAAAAATACTTTTTCACCTTAATTTTTGTCAATACTTGTCTTGTGTTAATCTCTTTTTTATTTATTTATTTTTTATTTTGTTATGTATGGTTTTTACTTAATCTGAATATCTTTTAGTGGATACACTTCTAAATCCTCAGATGTAATGCACTGCCTTAGAAAAGTACCATTTCTTGCTGTATAAACTTCAGGTAGATTTTACACCTTTGGCTCAGAGACATTCCAAAACACTTTTATTTCTAGTCTCAACTATTAATTCCAGCTTATTAAATAATTTCCTGCTATTTAATGATGACTTGTTCCACTGTTATTTGTTACGATCAGCTTTTCTATAGCATCTTAATTATACATCAAAACAAGACTATAGTACCATTATGTCTTCTCAGTCAGTACTGGATAAAGAATCTGCTAATTATCACAGCCAGAACACAAGGTCATTAGTAGTATTTTTTATCCAACCTACTCTGAGCAGCTAAATTTTCTCATAAATAACAGTGTACTGTAATATTTCTCTAAAACTCGAAAGGTCTTTCTCAGCATCCAGATTTATCAGGGCCATCAGCAACTGACCCCTAGTTCGACTCCCAGTTTCTTTAATTGCCCTTTCCCGAAATGACGTGGAACCCAAGGATATTCTGTTTTCTCCAAACACTAGTTTTGTATTTCCTGATATGTTATCACATCATCAGCATGTTATGACATCCAGCAATTTTTACTTTTATTTTGTCTTTCCTATGTAGCTCATACTTTGTCTGGTCATGCTTGCTGAAGCAAGCTGCTTGGCCATCACTCTTATCAGTACAGCCTTTTCCAGCTTCTTGAAATCATACCTTTATGCTCTCATATTTCCTTCTCCATTGATAACTTTCTGATTTGCCCAGTTTTCCTCTTCCATTGAATTAAAACCACACTTAGAGATTGCATATGATTTCCCTGATACTGAAAGCTTCTATTAGTAGTCTTGGTATTAGCCCCTCAGTAATTAAGTGGAATGTAGTCATCAAGAAAAATCTCCAAAGAATAGATAAATGTTAAAACAAACAGTGCTTAACACTGCTTTTGTTCATTGCTTTACTTTCAGTCTTGTGCCTTAAAAATTTTTATTCTCTACAGATCAAAATCATCTGTGCCTGCACTGAAGTTCAGTCCTTTGTTTCATGTTCTAGCATGAATCCATTATTTTCCTGACAGAAGGTACAGTCAGAAGATTCCTCCCTGCTCTGTTCATGCTCCTTTTCAGCCTCAGGCCTGCACATTGCAACCTTTTTTCTGGCAGGCAGCCTAACTTACTGTGCTCTCCATGTTGATCTGGTGTCTCTTTCTCTTATCAAAGGGTTCCTTTATGAAAGGTTGAGCCTTGTCTTTCTCTGGTGTTGGAACGTGTCTATTGTGTCCTTCTGTTCTGCCTTCTTATTGAAGATAATTGTGTGTATCTTTTTCTACCCTGCATCTTCTGTGTATCATCCTCATTCCCTCTTCAGAACTGGTCCCTGGCTGTGATAATCTCTTTTACTTCACTAAAACATCAGACCTCTTTTTCTTCTTCTCTCCTTGATTGTTTGATTTCTTCCTTTCTAAGATCTCCAGGAAAGACTCCTCCTCCAAACTTTTCTACTGCATTAAGCCATCCTTTCCAGAGAGTCATGTTTGCTTGTTTTCCTCCTGGGTTATCCAGATAGTTTTGTACAACCTTTTTAACTATTTCTTCATTCTATTTTCTATTATTCCGTTGCATTCATCTGCATCTTTAGCTCCTGGATAGTCACTCCCATAAGCCATATCCTGGTGATGTTTCCTATGAAGTCAAAAGGCCAACGAAGGAGAAGAAAGATCTTCAAACATCTGTAACCAGTCAGGCTTTTTCATCCCTTCAACTTTCGGTTATCACTGTCATTGATCCCTCAGTAACCACTGGCATCATACTATCTTCTAAATATCTGATTCAAGATAGAGATGAGAGCCCCTCTATTTACTTATGCTTGTGTTTTCTGAGATTCTTTACTCAGAAGGTCGTTTTTTTAAGCCTTTTGCCTCAGTCAGAGACACTTCATGTAATCAGAGGTCAGTCAGTCGTGTTCATAGCAGGGAACATCTTACTCAATACGCCCTGCCAAGCTGCTTCCTGAGGCACAAGTCAGAGCCACCGCAAATGGGCTCTGAATGTAGACCAGAGAGCACACAATGTGCAGTTACAGTCACACAGGAGAGAGGTGCATTCACTCTTAAAAAAATTAGAAATTTCTTCCATGTCCAGAACCTGTCCTATGCAAACTGCCGTTTTTTTCCTGTGTGCTTAGCAGAGGCAGTAGGTTTTAGAATTCCTTAAACAAATTGTTAAGCCAGTAAACAACTGCAGATCCATCTGTAGATGTGGGAAACCTTTTAATATGTAACATAAAGTTTCCTTAACTTTTAATAATTTTATCCTAGACCTTTATTCTAGATGCTTGCAGAGCAGTGAATTGAGTGTGTAATGGAAAGCAAGTAATCTGAGAGTTTGCTGGACCAGCCCTAAGACCATAATATATAGTACTGTCAATCTTTATTTAATATCCCCTCTTCAATCCTTCAATAGAAATCCTTGAGAAAATGTGCCTTCAGTAGTTCAGCTCGTTAACTGTGAAAGTCCATGCATCTTTCAAAACGAGTTCCCCCTTTTTTCATAACATGCTGAAATGTGTATTGTCCTCCATCTCCATATTGCCCAGCTGTAATAAACTTTTTCATGATTCCTTTAGATTTTCAGTATACCACCTAGCCTTATTCTGGATAAAAACTTTTTATAAATTAATTTTGCACTTTATTGTCACAGGATCCCATATTTTTTCCTCAAATATAAGTCTTCTTAAGTCTTTAGCCCCATAGAACTCCTCTTACCAAAGGAAAGTCTAATGTACAGACATATACAAAGGCTGAATTAGCAAGGCTGTGATGGGTAGGTACTTTCAAGTAACTGAATATAATCAGAAATATTGGTTTCTAGAAATAGTCTCTGTGAGCATAGAGAGAAAGTTAATTTTAGTAATTCTATTCAGATCATTTGTAAAGTTCATATTTTAAAAGAGAAATTGATTTATATATTACTGATTATTCCTTTTCTGGTCTTGTCCAAATAACAAGCAAAGGACTACTTATTACAATTCATCATTCAGTTTGAGTTAAAATAGCTTTTGCTATTAAAAAAAAAAAAAATCCATTAAGGTTTTGCCTCCCTTCCCTTGAAAAACTCTATTTTTGTTGAACTTTCTGATTCGAGCATGAAATTGTTTAATAACAAAAACTTCACTATCAGTCTCACTGAATCATTCTCCATTGAGGAAAAAGGAAGTCAACTGTAAAACTTACAAGTGGTCCTGGGCAATTTTTACATTTTAAAACATAATTGCTTTTATAAAAATATGAATACTTGGTAATGCTGATCCAAGCAGTGGAATGCAAACAAATTACTGGATCTGCTTTCAGCAAAAACAGCATTTCCAACCTCTATAATTACTGTAGAGAGAATAGTAGCAGATAATCTCTGCTATATCATGGCTCCAAAATCACACATTTCTTGTGGGATAATATGGAATAGCATTTAATGACTTACAGATTCACATGAAATACCATTATCTTCACACTACATTTTTGTAGAGATAGGATGAAATTCCTCCCATCTGTATTAGGACTGTACTTATTTTATTCTGTTGACAGGAGGCAGAACTAAGTAAGCTCCAGTAATGGAGCTGCTCAAAATATTATTGTGGATGACATTTTTTTACCTTTATGTGTATGGAAATTTCCATACACTGGTTCCTGTCAGCACAGAACTTCTTTTACTCATACAAATTAGTCTTTTTTTTTTTTTTTTTTTTTTCACAAAATACTGTCGAGAGTTATATCAAGTTGACACAGAAATTTTCAAGAAATATTTTTCATTTGTTCTTCTGAACTATTCCTATAATTTACATTGAATATTTGTTCATTAACATAAATTCAGAACTTTTATAATAATGAACTAGAAAAAAGAGAAAATAAATGAAGAAAAATTAATAAAAATAAGAACAAAATTGTGTTCTGTGCACTTTTAGTACCCTTTAACATTGAAATGAACATTCATAAGTGACTTTATTTACTCTTTGAGCTGTTGTCCAATTAACCCATCAAAAAAAGTATCATGAACCTCAGAAACATTAGAGAATATCAGCCTTTATTTGCTCATTGTTAGAACAGATCAGTTTAAAGTTAAGACCAGATATTTCATATTAGGGATAAACCTTCATCAAACAAGATTTTTTTTTTGGTTAAGACTTATGTGTCTTGAAGTCTATTCCTAAATTTCATCACTTGCTTTCTGGGTAACCTTGGCAAGTTAGTTCACCTCCTCTGCAAAACATGTTTAAAGTTACTTAGCACTTCTTCTTCTTTCAATCTTTGAAATTTAAGATTGAAAATGCATGGTATAATACGACACATGTAAAAATAGTTTCATATAGTTCATAATATACAAGTTAATGTTGAACTGACCTCCCTCAGCTGAGCAGATGACTACAATAGGGCTGAAGGGACCGTCTCCTTTGTTGTTGTAAACACCAACTTTCACCTCAAAAGGAGTCAGAGGTGGCACACTTTCATCTCTGTAGATGAACTTTGAGGCATCTGAAGATGTCACCATTTTTTCCTTCCAGCCACGTGTTCCGTTGGGTCTGAAGGCTACAATATATCCAAATCCTTCTCCATTCTGAAACTCTTCTGACACTGGCTAAAAAATAAAGTTCAGGTGGTGATCAGACACGGTTTTACTAATTTAGAAAGCAGTCACTCAGTGGCTGACCATAATTAAGCTCCTTGTGTGAGTGTGATCCCTTAAAATTGCACTATAAGAGTTTTCTTATCATGCCTAGGAACGCAGAGGGACAGTTTCTTCTGAAGAACCTTGTAAGGGAGTTTCTTCATGTTCTCACCATAGTTAGGTTACTGTCCTAGGACTGAAGAAGCTCTTGGGCTTAGAAATATTTTTTCTTCTATATCTCCTACTTTGTGGTCAATACCTTAACCAGTGGTCTATTAGTGGAATAGCCCTTTCCGGTGACCTTGCTAGAAAGATAGAGCAACATATTATTAAGGGCTCCTAAAACAGGATGTGAGTGACGCTACAGTGGGACTCTCTTGGGTTGTAGGTGCCAGCCTGTCTAACTTCTGTATCCAACTGGGGTGTCAGCTCTTAGGGATTTAAGTCTAGGGTTCAGTTCGAGACTTAGGATATAATGTAATAAATTTAGTTTTCCTAACTTTCAACCTGCGTCTTGGTGAAAAACAAAAATATCTAGTTTGCTTTTCTCTTCTGAGAGGATCTGTGAAAGTAGCCATTTAAATTGGGACACATCTGCCATAAGCAGGCAGTCAGCAAAGGGATTTATCTGTTGAGAGGCTGAGCACTGCAAAAGCTAAATATTACATGTCCAGCTCAAGGAATGGAATTTTTCATGTTAATTTACGGCCTACATTTCTTATAAAGTCAATGGACTTGTTTAGGAATTCGGTTATGTTTTACAGCTGTCAACATACTAGGTCTATGGGAAATGCTGTAAAAAGATGTCTAAACTCCTGCTCTTGAAGTGTTCATCTTAGATCTGCAGTTAATGAACATATGAGTCAGAGCAGGGTGTCATGGTTTAAGGCCGCCCTACAGCCACCCAGAAACTAAGCACCACGGCAGCCTCTTGCTAAAAACTTCGTGGGCTGAGGCAGGGACAGGGAGGGTTCACTCACCACTCAGGGTCACGGGCAAGAAACAGACTTGACTTGGGAAAACACAAAAACGATTTAATTGGTTAAAAATAAAACACAGAGCAAGATATTGAGAAAGAGAAATACAACTTAAAAAGGCATCTCTCCCCCACCCCTCCCTTCTTCCTGGGCCCAAAGGCTTCATTCCTGATTTCTCTACCTTCTTCCCTCCCCCCCGCAGTGGCACAGGGGGCAGGGAATGGGGGTAGCAGTCAGTCCATCATATGTTGTCTCTGCTGCTCCTTCCTCCTCAGCGGAGAGCTCCTCACAGCCTTTCCCTGTTTCAGCATGGGGTCCCTCTTACAGAAGAGTCCTTCACAAACTACTCCAACATGAGTCCTTCCCACAGGGCTGCAGTTCTCCACTAACTGCTCTGGTGTGGGTCCCTTCCATGGAGTCATGGCCTCCTTCGGGCAAAGCCACCTCCTCCAGCGTGGGATCCTCCATGGGCTATATACAGGGTAGTATCTGCTCCATTGTTAAATCACCCTGAATTACCAAATTTCATAGACTGAGTGGGCGAGTGCAGCCACCTCTTCCAGTGTGGCGTCCTCCATGGGCTGCAAGGGAATCTCTGCTCCGGCACCTCCTCCCCCTGCTGCCTCTTCACTGACCTCCGTGCCTGCACAGTTGTCTCTCTCACATCCCTCTCCTCTCTCCTCCGCAGGGTCTTTCAAGGGCTCTCAGGCGGGGGCTGCGCTGGGTCGGCTGGGCCAGGGCTGTGTGGGAGGCTGGGGCTGCCATAGTGGGTTGGGTGCAGCTGAGGGTGGGCAGGAGCCGGACAGACCAGCTGGGCCCTGCCCAGGGCCACACCCCCACTCCCGGTGCTGTGGCCCCTCTTCAGTATGTTACTCGCAGAGGCACTGGTTGGCTCTGGCTTGGCTACAGGTGGGTCTGGCTTGGAGCTGGGGAAACCCCCATCAATTTCTCACAGAGGCCAGCTTGGTAGTGCTCCCCCCTGCCACTCCCACTATGAAAACCTTGGAGCCTGGGAACTCGTAGCAGTTATTTACATGAGCCATCGCTGTAGCCCCTCTCCTGCTACCAAAAAACCCACCACACAAAACCATAGCACAGGGGCACAGCGGACACCAAATTCTCTCCCCTCCACATTGCAAGTGACTGTTTCATCAGCAGGCACCTCACTCAGACATTTTCTAACCATCCTTCTGAAGCTGTGCACTGCGCATCCAAGAAAAATAAAATAATCATGTCTCCAATGGCAGAGGAGGCAAAAATAAGCCAGATTTTGTAATCTAGTGATTTGAGTTGCAAAGAAGGATGCTTGCATCTAGTTGTAATGCTTATGGAGTTGGCAGTAGACAGTTATTAAAAAAAACAGAAATACAAGAGAAGCAGCAGAACACTTGGGTTTCACTGCAAGTGCTAAATACACAGTCTGTGGATTAAAGTTGTGTGAATAAAATTTTTTTTGAACCTGCTGAGTATAATTCAGGAGCCTAGGTAAGTTAGTCTTTTCCTGAATTCCCAGAGACCCATATACCATCTCAGTATCTCTTCAAAGTACTTTGTTGAATTCCTGTTGCCTGTGTAAGTCCAATAAAACTTTTCTAGATTCTGCAAAAGCACAGATTGTCTGTGCTGGAGCTATGCCAACTTACACTGTGGTTGTGCCTTATGGAAATGCAGTGGATAAACCAGACAGCACAGTAGAGTTGTTGAGGTGCTATCCAATGCTCTAGGATTAGTTGATTAGCAGAAATTTCAACACTTTCCTTTAAGTGTATTTTTTTTTTTGTGATATGCTCTATCTTTTTACCATTTCTTGAAGAGAGACAGTGACTATAATTAGAAATGGTAGCAATCTTTCAAACTATCAAAAATGTAAATATACCCACTTCTCAATTTATGTTCAACACAGATGAAATACCATAAAGTTGTTGTGATCTTAATTTGATTAATGACTTTATGCCATTTAAGAGGTATATGAAACAAGAGTATGCTGAAAGTATGATACTTGGAAAAACAAGGCTAGGTATTGATGGAAACGAGTTAATCAGAAGCAAGGGAGAAGGACTGACACCTTCTGCCTTAATGGGAGTTTGCACTCCTTAGCAATAAGTGAAGAAGCATCAGCTGGATTTTGTGGATAAAAGTCAATTTATACTGAAAGTTATGTTATAGCAATTGCTAATTTTTAACTATCTGTTGTGTCTGTACTGCAGGGTGAGACACCCATGGGTCTTTGGTTTCTTTTGGAAGAAGACTTCGACCCCTGACAGAGAGGGAGATATAACATACTCCAGTAGTCCCCCACTCCAGTCATCTGGGGAATACTGTAAACACAATATGAACACTACACACTAAGATATTATACTAGGGACTGGGATTAGGTCACTTTACATCAGATACGGTTCTAGTCATCTGCTGCTTTTGTTTGGAATTCAGCAAATTCTCTCCCAGTAGGAGGGATGCTGCCATTTTTAGTTTGACAGTTATAAGCAAACAGAAATCAGTCCTGTTTCAGGTGTCTCAGGTAGCTGGTGTTGGGGAAGACAGACATGCAACAAAAGACACCCTCTTCAGATGTTTTAAAATTTGCCATTTTAAGCAGTTAATCAGAATTCTCTGTGTCTCTTACCATCTGAATCTCTCTTCAAGTTGGATAGGCTAAAATTTTTTTTCATTAAAACCCCATGTCTTTATTTGATGGAATTTTTCTTGGTTTTATATATGTAGTATAGTTTCTGAATCTACAACTCTTCATGATGAATCTAGAGGCTGTGACAGCTTCATAAAAAAAAAACAAACCTCTCTGTTCTACTGAGTTATTTATGATTAGCAGAACAAGCAACTCCCACTCCTCCAGTTGCCCACTGGCACCGTCATACATCTGTGTTGCATTTTGCATTACAAATATTTTCCCAAAATAAAGGTCTATTTCAAGTCTTCAGTTTTATATTTTTATGAAATACTTAAAAAAAATTCTTTCTTAATTTAAATTTTAAAAAGCTACAAGGCTTTCCATCTCTTTCCTTAGCTGTTATTTCATCTGATATAGCATTTACATAAGATCTAGAAAAGTAAAATCAGCCTAAGCAGTAAATCAGGGAGAAAAGACCAATGAATTGGCACAACTTTGGATCTACTACTAGGTGGGTAAGATTCACCATAATGCCTTCTGCTCAAACCACATGAAAATCCACATTACTTTGAAGCTTTAGAACATATTTGAAGAACAGTATTTTGTGTTCATGTCTTGCCAAGATTTGCTGTAAGGAAACCCCAGTACAGTACTCTTTATTTTGCCCTCAAAAAAGCAAACATGAAACAAGGCCTTTAATCAGAAAAGTCTCTTACCTCCCATGCTATTACTAATTCATGTCGCCTTCCACTTCTGCCACTTACATTAGCTGGAGGTGTCTTTGGAACTGTGAGTAAAAAGGAAAAATAAGACAAACTAAACCAGAATGTCCAAGTTATTGAAGTTTTCCCCATAGTAATGAGTTGCTGCAGAAGACATGAGGCTGTTAAATCAGAACAGAAGTAACAAACGTAGCAGTCTGTGGTAAAGAAATTTTGCTCAAGTTTTGTATCAGAGAATTCTACAGTCAAGCTGGTAAACTCAAAGATATCATAAGCTGACAAGAAAAATAATATTGGAATAAAAAGCTGCTTAAGCACTATGTCTTCTGCAGGTTAGTCCAAATTTCAATGTACAGGTCATCTAAGAGATAAAACAGGAATTTTCTTGTTAACATTTGTATTTTTCAAATTGACAACTCAAAATCAAATGCCACAGAACCTGACATATTTCAGACTTCATGTAAAATTTTAGGACATGAATAATACATCTTTATTATTTCCCAGGCCATTAGTGATTTAGAATGTTTAGTTCTTGTAAATCTATCGTATGCTTTACCAGGGAGCCAGTTTTCAGAAATTTTAAAGTAACCATCCTTAAACAGCCCTTATCATTTCTTGTGAAATGTTGGAAGTAGTACTACCCACAGTTCTGTAAAAACTGAGACTACCATTATGGCTTTAAAAGCACATATGAGCAGTTCATGAAAGTCCTTAAATGAAATTATAACTATCATCATCAGTATGAATCGGGTTATCATGTCTTGTAAAATTTTAGAAATCTTAATTGTTCCATTGGAATTGTATAATTAGTGCCCCCAATGAAGCTCCTTAAATGACTAATGTCTTGAGCTTATTTACCGTGAGTAGGTAATACTTGCATTCTTTATTTGATTAAATATTTCCTAAGCTATAAACTTTCTCTTTTCTTCCTTACAGCAGTACATAGGTCATTGGTAGAAAGGTACTGTGAGGCATTAAGTGTTAAGGCCTTATTGCATGCTGTTTAGCTTATTTATTGAGTAGCACTGTGCCTTTGAACTATACAAAAAAACCCCCACATTTAAATAAATGTACACAGTCCTCTCTGTTTCCCATGTTGATCATTACCAGATTAAGTTCAAAGAAAGTGGAAGTTCACATAAAATTTCAGAATTTGTTTGTGCAGTGTCTTTTTGAATGCTGAACTCCCCTTTAAAGAACATAAGCCCGATCCTGTTTTTTCTCATAAATGCAAGCCCAAAAACTTATGAATTGCTTCTGATTTACACTGTTGGAAATAGGGTAAAAGCCCTTTTATCTGTGGTTCTTACCAGACTAATAGAGGAGATTTCTATTGTGTGAAACATCTCTCTCCAATAACGCTGGGTTCATCTGTCAAACATGGTGCCTTTGACTTTTCTGTCCTTCCTTCCCTCCCTCCCTTCCTTCCTTCCTTCCTTCCTTCCTTCCTTTCCCCTACACACATACTAAATGGTTGTCCTGGTTTCAGCTGGGACAGTTAACTTTATTCATAGTAGCTAGTAGAGGCTACGTTTTGGATTTGCCCTGAGATAAAAACATCCTGATGATTTGTGTTGTTGCCAGGACAGTTAAGGACTTTTCAATTTCCCATGCTTTGCTGGTGTGCAGGTGCACAAGAGGCTGGGAGGGAGTGTACCCAGAGCAGAACCCATGATTACTCGCCTAGGCTGAGCTTTGGGGTGGGTCATCCCGTAAGAAGATAACTGGAGACATGAACTAGTTTAAACTAAAACCTAATCTCTACATGGAAAAAAAAAATTAATCAAATTTTCCTTTCAGAGTTGCCCTCTGGATTAAAAAATCTTCAGTGTGCAACACTGGGATGAATGTTCTACAGTGAAAAGATGCAGATGAAGAATCATCTGCCAGTTAATTAACATACAAAAATTATGATGCAATCTCTAATGGAACATATTTAAACCTTGTTTAGCACTCATTTTTCTCTTGCCTAAGACTTTTTTGGTTAGGTTATAAAGAAAAATGAAGCTTTTAGATGCCACATTACTGATGAGAGAGTATGCTGCACTGCTTTGAAGTATCCAGTGTGATGGACTTATTTAACCTGCAGTGTTCTCTTTCTAGAGTTTTCTCATTAACAGCTTTGCAGACTGAAACCCTACTTAAATGAAAAAACATTTCTTAAGAGAAAACCTTTTTTGCCTTGCACTGAGGTTATGTATTAGCAACCCTTTCAGCAGCATCACCTTTATATCAGTGTTATATCTGAATTTACTCACTCATAGCCTAAGTTTACTTCATGAAAAAATGTTAAAAGAATAAAACTGTCAAAACAATGAATTTCTTTTGCACCAGACTAAAATGTACATTCACACAGTGAAACTCTCTCAAATGAATAACCATTAAACGAATAAATGTGTCAAAGGAATAAATTTCCTCTGCACTGTACCAAAGCAGACAATACACAGTTAGAAAGAGACATTTTGAAATGAGTAACTGTTAAGTGGAGAAAACTCTTAAGAGAAAACCTTTTTTGCCTTGCACTGAGGTTATGTATTAGCAACCCTTTCAGCAGCATCACCTTTATATCAGTGTTATATCTGAATTTACTCACTCATAGCCTAAGTTTACTTCCATGCAATTAGTGACTTCCCAATCTTTAGGCTGTTAATTCTTGGCAGTGACACTCATGGAGATTCACTTGTACTGAATACACAAATATGATGACTAAACTTGGTTCCTGGGAACAGGATCCAAGTGCCTGGGGCACAAAGACATTAGGACCCCTTTTCTTTAGTGTTTAACAAAGCTGAGAAATTCAGTGTTGTATCTGCTGAATAAATACACCCCAACTAGTATCAAAGAGCTCTTTGCTATGTTAATGTCCCATTGAACATGAAGATGAGAGAATGTCACCTACCAGAAAATTAATCACTCTGGCTTAAAACTGGTCCTGAAGCTTGGAAAATGTGACTGTGCTTGATCATATGTCTGTAATTCTGATCAAAGCTTTCTCATTAGCCCCTTTGCCAGTTACCTGTTCTCACTTGTCTCCTATTTTGTTCTAAGACCTTAAGCTCTTTGGAATCAGGTCAACTCTTCCTTTCTTTTGTTTCTTCAGCCACTGGTAAGGTTGGGAGTTAAAAGCCAGGTTTCTCCATCATTCTGGTAATGCAAACAATGAATAGTACTAAAGACTGTGTTCTGAAAGACGTGGTGACTAGATGTAGTTCACAGTAAATAATGTGTGTATGCCGGCACACATTGATGTTTAAACCTCCACTTGAGCAGAAACAGCAGATTTAGTTTCTTGCTGTTTTCCATTTTCATGGAAGTACGCTGAAAATTAAAGTGAAATTAAACACTATCCCCTAAATGTAACAAAAAAAACTTCAAAAATTTTATCTAAGAGCAGGCACAAAGAATGTAGCCCTCAGCAGTCCTATGAAGCATTTGACAATATACTTACAATAGAAATGAAGGAAAGGTGTTATGGAAAGGTAAAGCTTATACATGAAGCCATGTCAATTTTTTTAATAATTCATGTGTATCTTATCATTACAAGCTAAATATGCATGAAGAGCAGTGGTTTTTGTTTAGGACAAAATATATGCACAGAACAGAGGGCTTTGTTTATGGTAGTAGCAGTCATAAAGTGCTGAATAATGCTGAAAATGCAACCTATATACTTTAAATCAATTATTAAGTGTAAAGTTTGGGGAAGCTTTTGGAAGTGGTAGGCAATATCATAGCTATGAAATCATGAACATTTGAGGTAGATGTTAGGATGTTAGCTTTCCTTCCACAGTTCTTCTTTGTCCAACATTTTGAAAACTGCTCTGTGCTTTAGGGTACTAGAATTAGGTTTTTCGTTCAGAGTTTTAAAAATTCATCTCTCTCACTCTGCATGGCTGATGGATTTTTTTTTTTTTTTAATGAATACTGTGGATTCTTGTAGACTGTAAATATTAGCCCATTCAAAGATTTTGGGTACTTACTTTTGGGCTAAATATTGACAATTATTAAATATTTCATTTTAACATTATAACAAATGAAACATAGTGGTTTGTCTTTTAAAGAGAGGTATAATTTGAATTTTACTTCAGCTTTATTTAAAAACAGAAGAATTAAAACTGGAAAGACAAATGAGAATATTGTGTTTTGAGTTGAGAGTTTTTCAATTTTTATCTAAAAATTATTATCTTACTTCTAATTTGCTGAAGAAAATAAAGAAAAATCTACATTTTGTTTAAAAACAGTTTTATTCTCCCCATTTTTACTTCAGGGAGTGAAATGAAAAAATCCTCTAAATTGCTCTGGCTCTAGATTCCTTTCCTTACAAAAAGGTAAATAAAATGTCACATTGAACCTGGAAAAAATGAAAATATTTGAAAAACACTTCATCCTCTTTTTAAGATTCCAATCTTGTAAAGAAAATTAAAATTGCTATTGAATGAATAATTAATAATTTTAAAGTTTTTCTGCTTTGTCTCTTTTTTTCCAAGGAAATGTCGAGTGGCTTTTTTCATTTCTGTGTGTTTTGTTTATTTTGAAGAGAAATGACAGATTCTTAACTTTGCAGTGTGTCTTAATTTTTGTGCAGAACAAAAGTATTTTGCAGCCAAAATTATAATTGATTATAGTATTGCTGTAGAAACACGTAGCTAGACTTAGTTGCTCCTTCAGCTTTGCAATCTGAGTAGGTGACATAGAGGGAAGACAAAGAGAAGCAAAGGCCTTACTAGCCTCCTGTTTTCAGAGCAAGAAATGCTAATGTGAGCTGCCCAAATTTACAGACAGTTTTCTGATAAGCAACTTAGTCCAAATTTCCCAAATGCCAATTCTAACTTTAATCACAGTCTTTCTTACTCTGCTTGAATCCTGTATTCATTAAAATATTTTCCACATGGATTTTTTTTTAATAAATTCTGAAATATCTGGTCAAATAAAGTGAAAGGAAACAAAATGTTGCTATTGGTACACTTTTTGGGGAGATGAATTATTAAACTTGGCTTTAGTCCTTAAGAAAATGTTTGCTCAAGGTACAGTTGCAGTTATTTATTTCTTTTAGAGCTTTTTATATCTT